GTCATCATTTTCATCTATACCGTCATCAAAGCCGACACACTCCTCAAAAACACTGCCTTCCGACAACTCTTCTCTGTCAAGCTCCTCCATGTTTGCTTGAAAAAAACTTCTTTCTCCTTGCTTGACTTATATGCTCTCCCGGCGTCAATGGTAGAATTACGCAACAGCGCCCCCGGCTTGAATGGTAGAAATGCATTAATGCTTTCCCGGCCTAAATGGGTTAAGTGACTAGCATCAGGCGACACATGTGGAAGTTTCCATTCGGGCTAGATGACCATCAAACTTTGTCAGCTCCACCAACAACTGCATAAATATAGACTCAGGTTCGGCAGCCAAGTTATTCAAGCTGCAAAGAAAATTGTGTTGCTGTGTATTTCCTGCATGATCAACACTAAATTCACTGAATTCTGGGAAGTTTTTAATAACAGCTGCAATCAGACAATAAAATCTCCATGTTTCCCATTGGCTCAGTCTGAAATTGGACAAAACCTTTAACTAGAGCCCGCATTCAAGAAGGAAACGGACTTTACCATATTCTAGTCATATATCTATTTAACTATCAACACAACTATTGCATCAGTAATATTAATACTTAATACATGGTGTCTTACTTCAATCTCTGTAGTTTGCAGAGGCGAGTCTGTAAAAAACTACAAAGCTCTTTCACTCCATCATCTTCCAGGTCTATGTTGTCACTCAAGTCCAGTTCTGTCAGATGGAAGGGGTTGGACTTCAGAGCTGAAGCCAGATGTGCACAGCTGTTCTTTGTCAAACTGCAGTTCACCAATCTAAAGATTAAATTATGAAACTTATCAACATAACTTTTTGGCTGAGGACAATAGAATGCAGGTTAAAATTATTTAGGTGTGGTGGCATATTGTACTGGTATGCCAGTTCTAAAAGTAGTATGCCAGTTTAATAACTGACATATGGCGGTCTTTATGAGGGTTTCATTTTGTTTATATCAATATTCAAACAATATAAACATATATGTATCAAACAAAATTAAGAATTATATTGTTACCAAAGTTTAGTTCATAATGGCCGGCCCTGAGTGAATTCATTTTAAAATAATAACTCTGCAAATACCTTAAACTACAGTAGAGCTGTCCTGAATGAGAAAATAAATATTACATTTGAATGGTGAAATAGCAGGAAAATAAGAAAAAGGAGTTTAAAGCCAAAAATTGCCCAAAAGCAAATATAAACACTTAGGATACAATTCATCCCTAATTAAAGAATTCACAAAATGAAAGTATCTGGACTCACCGAGCCTTTCTGCAGTTCCTCACAGCTGGAATCAATCTTTGCCATCCCTCCACTGTTGTATTAAACCTCTTCAGGTCAAACTCATCCAGAACTTCCCCTGACATCTGTAATATGTAGGCCAAAGCTGAGCACTGGATCTCTGAGAGATTCTCCTTCGATATGCCCTCCAATTTCAGGAAATGTTGGATCTCCTGATAAACTGAGAGGTCCTTTATCTCCATCAGGCAGTGGAAGATGTTGATGCTCCTGTCGGGACATGCCTGTGTTCTTTTTATCTTCAGATTGTTTATGACTCTCTGGATCGATTCTGGGCTGTTCTTCATTTGGCCCAGCAGGCCTGCTAACAGTCTCTTGTTTGACTCTTCAAGGAGGCCATGAAGAAAACGAACAAACAGATCCAGATGGCCATTTTGACTTCGGAGAGAGTTTTCCAACACTTTCTTCAGGAATTTATCCAGAGATGTTTCACAGTACTTTTTCCCCAAGAATCGACTGATCACTTCTGTGTTTTTGTTGGTGTAACAGTGGAGCAGGTAGACAGCAGCCAGAAACTCCTGAATGCTCAAATGAACAAAGCAGTAGATGGGTTTCTGAAGGATGGCGTTCTCTCTTTTGAAGATTTCCATACAAACGCCTGAGTACACCGAGGCCTCTGTGACATCCAGACCACACTGCTCCAGGTCTTCCTGGTAGAACATGATGCTTCCTTTATCCAGGTGTTCGAACGCCAGCCTTCCCAGCTTCAAAAGAACTTCCCTATTAGCCTCCATCAGCTCTTGTGGACTCATAGGATGTCCGTCATCGTACTTGTTCTTTTTCCTTTTAGTCTGGACTAGCAGGAAGTGTGAGTACATGTCAGTCATGGTCTTGGGCAGCTCTTCTCTCTGCTCTGTAGTCAACAGGTTCTCCAGAACCGTAGCAGTGATCCAGCAGAACACTGGGATTCCACACATGATGTGCAGGCTCCCTGAGGTCTTGATGTGGGAGATGATCCTGCCGGACATCTCTTCATCCCTGAACCTCCTCCTGAAGTACTCCTCCTTCTGTGCGTCGCTGAAGCCTCGTACCTCTGTTACCCTGGAAACACAGGAAGGAGGTATCTGATTGGCGGCTGCAGGTCGGGAAGTTATCCAGACCAGAGCGGAGGGAAGCAGGTTCCCCCTGATGAGGTTCGTCAGCAGAACGTCAACTGATGACTTTTGTGTGACGTCAGAAACAAGCTGACTGTTGTTGAAGTCCAGAGAAAGTCTGCTTTCATCCAGGCCGTCAAAGATGAAGAGAAGCTTCCAGACAGCCAGCTTCTCTGCTGGGAGCTTCTGGAGGGTTGGATGGAAAACATGGAGCAGCGTGAGAAGACTGTGCTGCTGATCTCTGATCAGGTTCAGCTCCCTGAAGGAAAGCAGAACCACCACACTGACATCTTGGTTCTCCAAGCCCTCTGCCCAGTCCAGAGTGAACTTCAGCACTGAGAAGGTTTTTCCAACACCAGCGACGCCATTAGTAAGAACCAGTCTAATGGTTTGCAGCTGGTCAGGTAAGGCTTTAAAGATGTCGGGGCACCTGATTGGGGAGTAATGCAGGTTCTGGATCTTGAAAGCTCTTTCCAGCTCCATCACCTCATTTTGGGTATTAACATCTTCCCTCTGCCCCTCTGTAATGTAGAGCTGAGTGTAGATCTCTTTAAGGATGGTTTTATTTTGGCCTTCATCAATTCCTTCAGTCACACATTCATATCTCCTCTTCAGACTGCTCTTATATTCTTCTAGAATAACTTGGAGACCAACATCTACTGTAAATAAAAGTAAGAAAGTGTGTAAAAAAAACAACAACTTGATTTTATGTGATTGCAGTTTATAGAAACAGCTGTAACATTGGGAGGTCAATAATTGATGGATTCATTAGTTCAGTGAACTTTTTTTTTTTTTTTAACAAATCTATACTGATTCAGAAACCCTGCTGGATTGACCAGTTCGTCTGAACAGGGGATTCATGGGTAATAGTTTTAAAGGATTTATACACATAAAAGCCAAAAAACTGCAATATTTTTAGACAGAAGATTATTTTACATCAGTGCTAATATACTAGTGGACTTCAGAACAAAAGTACCAGGGATTTCCTTGAAGGGGTCATAGCTCATCCCTATTCACACTGCAGTGTTTGCTGTGCAATAGTGCAAATTCTTTTTCTTTCTCTTTTCCTCTCCAACCAGCCTGACCTGCTTAGCATCCGGCTTGGACATTTAAGATAAACGAGTGCTAAAGGGTCAAAGGTAGATATGTTTTAATTATCAGTCTTCTCTCCCATGGAACCGTCTACCAGTTTGAATCCGTATGGCAGACACCATGTCTTATATTAAAACTAGGGCTATATCTCTATGGTTATGCTGCTATAGGATGAGGCTGCTGGAGGACACAAAGACCACTTTTACACCCTTTTCAGTGTTTAATTTTTTTTCCCTCCTAGATGCAGGTATTGGCCCAGCTTTTACTTCCAACTATATGTGCTCTCTTTCGATTTAAAATCTATTTACAACTCATCGGCCCAACTGTTTTTTTTTTTTAGAGCAAAATATGTTTTTGCCTGTGATGAACCCAGACTCAATCTAAATACAGAAAATCTAGGTCAGCGATTGCCGTGATAAGTACTGTTCAAATAGTGCTGGTGGTAAGGAAGATGGTAGGGGGAAAAGTTCCTTTAGAATATAGACTGCTCAAGTTTATCTGGCAATGGTAGGAATATCCGTCCTTTGCCAGAAAAAAGCCCATCTAAAAGAATGTAACAAAAGTACATTATTATTTCGTTTGCACTTTGTGACACATGGTATTATATATGTGCTTTACATTATTTGAGTTTCATAAAGAAGAGTTTGCAACATCTTTTGGGTTTTTGTAATCCTTTTTTAGAAGGCTCTAGTCCAAATTTGACAAATATTATCCAGAGCTGAACTGAACTCTGGTTTTCCTATAGCTCCTAAGAAAGAAAGGGATATCAGGAGGTTCATATGCTAAATGAACTACGATAGGAAGATACCCAGGATAAGTGGAAAGAAATGACAAGAGGCTAACATTTGATAAGGATAAGATGTGCTATAACTTGATGTATTTGGCACAAGACCCAGTTTGCTTTGTGGTTTTATTTTTGTTTGTAATCATTTTCAACAGATGTATTTGAAGGAAGCTCTTACCAAAGATGTCCATTCTTACCTGGTGAACAGCTGCTTTCAGTGGCTGTCAGCTGTCCAGGGCCTGTTCTAAGTCTTTTCACCAGCTGGGGGCAGGAGGAGCTCCCTGAGACCAGGTATGATCTGATGCACCCTCTGTGGCAGTCTTCACACTCAGAACAAACCGGATTAATCCGGACATCCCAAAACAAAGCACAAAAGGACGGCTGCTCCTCCAAACAAACACTGCTCCTCTTCCTCCATCTGTAAAGACATTCCTTCATCACTAGGATAGTCAACTACTGGCAAGTCTTAATTCATCATGTTATATTTGGTACGTTAATTGATAAAACGAATAAATTAGTCACATATATTTCACAGTCCTAATAAAGTTAAAGGAGTTTTTGTTTGTACAGCAATTAGTAAATAATTGTAGTTTTCTGGAGGTTACAATCTATAAGAGATGGTTACCTTGACCAAATTTGTATATAAGGCTAGAAAAAAATGTATATTTTGAATTTATATGTTTTTTAAAAACAGATTCAAAACTGTAAGAAAAGCTCTATGTTTAGGGCATGTCTTCATCCTGCTCCTTTCGTTGTTGCTGGGTAACTGCAATGGGGATGCTTCTGCAGATACACGTTTTACTAAATTCTAAAAATATTCATGTTTCTATTCTTTCATCCATATTTATCGCCAGTGCTATGATCCTTATGGCAAGATAAAGTTCTTTTTCTAACACTTAAAAACAGAAATTAGGAGTCTAACCATTATAATGTTCTGTCACTGCGAAGGTATTTAAAGCAAGTTATAAAAGTAAACGATGAAGAAGCCTCTAATGAACAGAGGTTATTCTGTCATTGAGGAGCAACAATGGTCTAAAAAGAACGAAAGTTCTCCATTTTCTTAGACAACAGTTTTTCTAAATCTTATAAATTTCTTTGCTCCCTTCACACATGATGTTTGGAGGTTGACTTTCTCCCTTAAAAAATAGTATTTTAGTAAGGCAAAGTAAATCAAGCCAAGCTGCTCTCTGTCTTGTAGCTACAGAACTAAGCAGATAAACATCCAGAGTGTAAAAGTGCCAAAGCCTCCTGAACAGCATTTGAGCCAGTGTCCAAATTTCAGTATTAAAGCATTTTTGAAGTCCAAAATTGGTTTGGGAATAAAAAGACGCACATATTCATACCAACTATTAACTAACAGTCCTCTAACCTTTGATATGAGGGTTCGGGGTCATTACTAAAGAGTAGAGGATGATGTTTGGACATGTCACTCTTCATAGAAACACAGCTGGGAGCTGGAGAAGCTGCTCTGTTTCCCTCCGTCTTCATATCAACAGTTGATCCCAGCTGGTATGAAGCCCACCTGACAGGGAACAGATGAGATAACAAGTGATTTATTACTAGTGTTACCAGTATGCTACTCTCTAAACTGTCCTGTAAAGCAGGAAGGTGATTGTCTGAGAAACATGATGAGCTGATTACTAGGACTGTTCATTTTAAGGTCAACTATTTATTTTGTGAAAGCAAGATTCTAGCAGACTAAAATTAGACTAAATCAAAATTAAAAACAGTTCATGGCACCAAAACTATGCCTAAAACTTCCAGAATTAAATAGGAAAATAGTAATTGAGTGTTTTTTACTAAAATCATACATTTTCATTTCAAAAAATATAAGACTAATCCTTATTATAAATGTTGTCAAATTGACATTAAATATCATGTTTTAATATGTCACTAGAACTAGTGTTTGACGAAAAATGTGACCATTTAACCATGTAATCCATCAGCGATGGCCTGTCATCCCCTCTACCTGGTTTTATTGATAACAAACACTGTTTCTCTTATTTTAAGTCCTAAAAGCTTTCTCCCAATAAAATCTGTCTGTCTGCCTGGCTATGTGTTTCCTGGACGGTTCCGCCTGTGGAGCTGGTTGACAGTTGCCTTTTGTATCTATGCTTCTTTTTCTATGTCTGCTTCTGTCTCCTTGAACCCCAGTCGGCCTCAGCAGATGGCCGCTCACACAGAGTCTGGTTCTGCTGGAGGTTTCTTGCTGTTAAAAGGGAGTTTTTCCTCTCCACTGTCACTACAAGCATGCTTAGTGTGAGGGATTGCTGAAGAGTTGATGCAATCAACCGGTTTTCCTTAAATAGAACACTTTGAATCAATTTGACTGCATGATCTGTTGAACTGTAAAGTGCCTTGAGATGACATATGTTATGAATTGGTGCTATAGAAATAAACTGAATTGAATTTAATTGAAAATGCGGTACGCGTTCACATTTGGTCCCGTTTCCAAATGTACTCCACTGACTGCATGGTCTGCTTACGTACGGTACATGGCAGCACTGATTAATTGGTGACATTAAGCAAGCATATCCAACTTCCTAAACAAGTTTTATAAAATTCTCCATATTAAAGTTTTGTTGCGTTTCTTTTTTCTTATTTTTTTTCTTGTGTTTCAAAACAACTGTAATGGATAGTGAGTTATTGAAAATGAATTGTGTAATTTATTTTTAATGTAAATTATTGGAAGTGAATTTTCTAAATGTTGCAGATTGTTTATGGATGTTTGTTTTGATTAGCATTGTTTGTGGTTTGTTTAATGGTATTTGTACTTTGTAACATTTAATGGTTCTTTGGTGTTTTTTTGTACCTCATGGGCTGCCGTAGAAAATGAGGGCAGGCCATATAAATGCTGGTGGGATCATTGCACTAATAAATGACTTGAACTGTCAAGCTGTTTATCATCAAGCAAGCACGCAAGCAATCAACACTTAGTCTTCCCCAGTGAAAGCTGTGAGGTATGTTTTGTTTTTTGTATAGTCAATTTATGTTTTGTATTCTAATATTTGTATATGTGGTATATGTTGTAGTTTTCATGGTGACTAAAATAACTGTGGTGACTGGGATGAGGATGAGGAAGAAAGGCTTAATTCATCCGTCGAGACTGGCTGAGCTGCTACAACAACCAATTAAACTAACTAAAACAAACAAGGTCAAACTATTCATGTGTTGAAAGTCAACGAACAAAAATGGTTTTAGAAGTAAAGGAGCCTCTACAGTGTGCAATGGGAGGTTATTTAACAACTGGGAAGCAGCAAAAGGGAAGGCAACTCCAACCTGCCCCCCCATGCTCCCACCCACACCTAAGGGTTAGGTTAAGGCTGGCAACCTAAGGGGCAGAGAAGGTAAGTAGTAGCTGAAGAGGTCCAGAAAGGCAAGGCCATTCAAACAATTAAAAACAAAATGTGAACTTCAGACTAAAAGGAACCCAGTTGAATGACTGTTATTTGAAAACGAGCTAAAAGAGGACTTTAACATAAAGCAATCAACAGCAATCTGACATTATAAAATGGGGATACATGATTATATCAGTTATCAACAGCTGGCTCACCCTTTTCCCGAGGGTTCAGGGCCATCAGCGAAGTCTGGAGGAGGAAGCTCTTTGGACATGTCACTTTTCATAGAAACACAGCTGAGAGCTGGAGAGACTGCTCTGTTCCTTTCTGCCATCATATCAATAATTGGTAATCCCAGTTGGTAGGAAAAAGATCTGATAGGAAACAGAGACAATCAGTTAACACATGATTCATTGCTAGTATTAGCAGTTAGCTGCTCTTTGAACTGTCCTGTAAGGCAAGAAGCTGATTTTTTAACCCAAGTTAGAAGCTAGAAAATGTAGAGGAACAACCATAATCAGACTTTCTGGGTTCATTTGATATTTGGTTTCTCCAGTAATGTCAGTACATGATGATCATAGCTGAATGCTGAGGTTTTCAGTAGCTCAGTTTTGGGAACTGCGTCTTGTGAGCCATTCTCACTATACCCTTAAAACCCAAAACAATAAGCCTTTACATAGGCTTGTGTTTTTATTTATTTATTTTTTTATTTATTTACATATTAGTATTGAAGTGAATCATTTTTGTAGTATGATTGAAAGTCCCATTAACTACTTAGTTTCAGTCAATCTTTTCTGAGCATTTTGATGTATTGCATTGGGAGAGCTTGATGCAGTGTAAACTTCTCCAATGTGAGATCAATACAGTTCAATATTTTTTTCTTTTATCAACCATTAAATCATAGAAACCTGTTATGCTTTAATCTCAACCTTTAATCTAAGTACTAAATGAAAGCTTAAATATAGTAAACAATAACCATTGGGTTAAATCTATACCTATAAGTGTTCAACTTAGTGCTAAGAGACAGGATTGAACTTTCTGCTCCATCAACTGAAACAGAAATGTCATGTTAAACAGCTGCCCTACTGCTAAAAAATGTATCCTCAAAGCTAATTTTGTGTCAAGAAAGAGAAATGCATCCATCTATACTCGCTTTTGTACTCCTCTTTCCAGGTGTTACTACATTAAGCTACAGGGGACCATGTGATAAGGTGGTCATTGCTCTTTGGAAAAATTAGGCTATACTGCCCTCTGCAGCTGCAGTAGTAAAATGCAAGGTTTACACGTTTAAGGTCTAAGTTAGTGTTGCACTGATACCAGTATCGGGCAGGGCCCCGATCCAGCACTAAAATGGCAGAGGCATCGGTATCGGCGAGTACCAACAAATAGGGCACCGATACCATTTTCAGCCGTAGGCAATAAAAAGTTCTACTGGATTCACTTTGTATTAGTCTTTTTCCTGCTTCACAAAGGTAGGCAGCAGCTTGACAAAGCCATGATGGCAATTATTTTTACATCCAAGTAGTTTGCAGTTCTTCATATATGCAAACACATATCAATTTCAAACAGATGGTATCAGTATGGTATCGGCCAACAGTGCACAGCCAGATACTGGGGCCAAAAAATATGATCTGTGCAACTCTAAAGATATACAATCATTGTTTATAATATATTAGTGAACGAATGACCTATTTTCATATAAAACGGGATGAAATAGGAGAGGCACATTCCTGGATTTTACACTAGATTTTTGTTGTTTAAATATTAATAAACATGTAAAAATGGATAAAAGCATCACTGTCTCCATTTCCTATTTTAATTTTAATGATATGTATTTATCTTTACCTACGGGCTGGAAATGTCCCTCGGTTGGACTTTAGAAATCAGGTCTCCTTATACAGGGCTGTCAACTGTCACCCATTGGTCGTGAGACTCGCGCATCTCAGCGTCTTCACTGCGATGTGTCTCACTCCTTTTCCGCAATTTTTCACGATAAAAATGACAGACATTAAAACTCAACTTCATTCCACTTATTTATATATAAAATACCATGTTGATAAAAAAATCCAGTCTGCATTTTCAACAAAACCTTAGTGCTAACACATAATGACATGCCAGGTTCTTTACCAGTCCATGTTTTTGCACCAGCCCACCTATTCACTATGCTGACAGTAGCAGAGGTGAGAGACAGCCCCTGATATTGAAAAAAGACCGGGATTTCATGTCATTTTAATTTTATCTTATTTTATCGGGAAACGTTGGAAATCAAAGATTTTAAGCAGTCTAGCAATTTATTAAATATAAATAAAATATACAGCATTTAGCTTAAATTAATACTGTGGAGACTGAAGTGCAGGATCAAATCAAATGGTTTGTTTCCTTTATACTTCATGCTTTTTTACTGAGCTTTACTACTTGTTTGCTCTAGTTTATCCTCCTGATTTAGTCCATGTTTTTCTCACAAGTTAAATAATTATAGCTCAGTTTAGTTTAATAATCTCCCGTTGGATTTTAGGACTCATTAAACCAACACTAAACTAAATTCTTAAAGCTTTCAGGTTTTCATCACAAACCCATAGGAGCTCCACAAAAAGAAAAAGAACCATTGCACTTTATTCTTCAAAGGATCAGCCACCCAAGAAAAGACCAACCACATCCAGAGAGGATGTGCAGAAAAACTCAGTTATCCAGGATTCATAAAGGGAGAACCACAGGAATGTTATCATTTTATTTTTACTTATCTTATTTATATTTTCTTTGTTTTGGTCCATTAAATATGTTTGAAAAGTCAAATTCCATCACATCCACCAAAATCAAACATCCAGAGAAGTGCCGTCTCCTGTCATGGGGAGTTTTTAATAAATCTACAGCCTCCTAGAAGGTCTGAATAATTTAGCTGTTTAGTCAATTGTAAAAGAAACTAATAAGATAATAACTAAAGATTTTTAATTCTGAGTTTAATAGCAAATATTCACAGTATAGTTTGCACATGATTCACTTTCACTGGTTCCTGTATTAGTGTCAGTAATCTAATAACTTATTAGTTCCCTATTGGTTATTTTACTTGAACTGCAAAGAATAATTAATAAACACAGTTGTGAAAATCTTAGTTTACAGTATATTTAAGATGCAAGTATTTTAGCAGGGCCCATTCTTGCTTCAGTTCTCTGAAAAATCACCAGAATATAGAAAATTATGTATATGTGTGAAAGATTTTCCTCATAACTACAGCTCACTTATTGTTACTCAGTTACATTTACTGTGGTATATATAAAATCCACATTTATCCACTTTGTTTCAGTTAAATCCTCTGAAAACCTCCAACCTTTAGCTGCACCTATCCTCATCTAACCCTGACAAGGGTTGCATGCCCAAATTATTTCAAGATCTCACCCCAAGGTTTGATGAAAAGTTGGCAGCCCTGCCTTATATAATGGCCGCCATTGATTTAATGATATAAAACATAAGTATTCATTACATCTTACAAAATACTTTATTTGTTCGAGTTATTTCCTGGTGGACTACTTTTAACTTTCACTTCAGTAATTTTGTAAAATGTAAAAGAAAAAAAAAAAATCTATTCCTACTTGAGAAAAAAGTTTATTTACTCTACCAGCCTCTGGCAGCCATGCTAAAGCCTTTTAAGTATCACAGCGTATTTAGAGCTGCTCACACTTACCAGATAAATAATGTTGTATTTAACCTGGAGTTTGCTGCAGCTTTGTTATTCCTCAAGACGGGAGGTTCTTTTATCTCCTCTACATCCAGTAAAAACAGCGAAAAACTTCCAAACATGACCGAAACAGCTCTATCGAAAGTGTTTACCACTCATCCGACAACTGTCTCCAGGTTCGCGCCAAATAAAATGGAGTCAACAGCCAACCGGGCCTCCAGTTTCGCGCCAAATAAAATGGAGTCAACAGCCAACCGGGCCTCCAGTTTCGCGCCAAATAAAATGTAGTCAACAGCCAACCGGGAATTTGGGCAGGCAGTTTTAGCATTTATCATGTTGACTGAATATTTATATTAGACATCTAAAATACAATTCGTCCTAATCAAAATTATTATTTAAAACCACAGGAATTTAAAATAACACCATAAAAGCTGACATTTAAAATACCTTGAATGTCATTAATTCCAATTATTGTATAAAAACGTCACTTCACCCCATTCATGTGTATTGGGCTTTCACTTCCTAAAATCGAAATGAAAATTCTGCGTGTCTAGAAATGAACTTAGATTAAAATGAACTATAATATGAGATCTCTAATCATGACTGAAATACATTTTCAGCCATAAATGATGACAAAGTCACTAAGAATTTAAGATTTAAAGGTAATTGAAACTTAATGTCTACTAGTACAATTAAAAAAAACATCCTATCTTGAAAACCTGGTATTGTTGGCATAAATGTAAGTGAGGGAACCCAATTACAGTTCTGACTAGTAGTGACGTGATTATGAGCGTGAAGAATCATGCTGTAATGAATTATGATGGACTACTGGTAGGTGGTGTTGAAGTGTTACTGTCTCTTTAAGACGTTGAGACGCCTGTGGAAGGGGAGGGGTGTTTAGTGGGAAAACTTTGGGAAGTTAGGAGATTGTATGTGGAGGAGCCATAGATATCCATAATAAAGGCTAGATGTCTTACGGCGGAGTCTCAAACGGCATCACCGGGCGGCCATCTTACCACAGGCAGGCTTTCTGGTGTGCTCTGTGGTACTTAATGTAAGGTGAGTGATCAGCACGAACACAAATACTCTTATCTCATTGAATTCTTGACGGATTTACAAACAGTTTGGTTTATATATATATATACAATATATATATATATATATATATATATATATATATATATATATAT